CGCTCTTTCCCATCACAGGCTGTTTGCTTCAACAGAACTCAGCTGTTTTCTAGAGCTTAGGAAAGGCACGTTCAAGAGTCACCAGAGCCATTCGGATTGCCTAATAGTGTTCACATAGGGAGACAGATTAATAACAACAGTATTTAATCACTTAAATCCATTAACTATCTTAAAAGCAGCAACCTAGCTACTTGGATTATACTCAGTGAATTTAGATCACAACCGTACATTCAGTGTACATTTCCGTCGGCCCCTCCCCCGTTTCATGGTGGGGACTAAGATCAGACAAAGAAGTTACTGGTCCTAAATTAACCTAATCAAAATGTCATCTCTATCTGTATTATTATTTTAAATACTTCTTTAAAGTCATTCAGTTTTATTTTTAAAACATCTCTGTGTCTATGATCCTTCAACTGAAACACTGTGCTTTACACATTATCACAGATACCAGTTTTTAGCTGACTCATTGAATGAGAGAGACTCTGAGACTCTATTGGATGGTACACTGCTCTCTTATATACTTCTAACATCAAACTTTTATCTATTATCTTTTAACTCTATCCCAGCTTAAGGCATCTTTGCCAGATATTACATACGGTTTCAAATAAACATATTATTTATATTTGTCTTTTGCCCACACATCAGGAAATTTAGGCATTACAAATTTCCACTCAGATTGAGTCTGTTGCACTGGCAGTTTCAGCCACAGCACACATCAGATTCAGATAAGCAAACTGTTTCATTACAGCCAATAACAAACTTATCTTTTGAAAACTAAACATCAGCTTCTAGTTCTTTCATGGTCAACTTTTCAAGCTGTTTGTTTAATCAGCATTTAGCAACTGTTAATTCAGTACGGCTTCTGCTTATTTGTTTTACATAAAAATAATTATTCTAGTTCTCAATAACGTTTCACATTTCTCAATCTCAATTTTAATTGTTAAGTTCTCAACCATAGTTTAATATTTGACTTCAGTTTTCTCTTGGAGTTTATCAATCTCCAATTAGGATTCACACTAAGTTTGACGAGGCAAGCACTCTCTGCTTGTGATACTTTTGCAGTTATTGTAAATCATCTGTGAGATTAGTCTCTCTATATCATCTAAAACCTTTTTAAAATGTTTAATTACAACACAATCATCCTTTAAGTTACTTTGATATATTTTGCAACTCACATTTGTTGGAGTCATTAATTTTACATCAACCTGTATTCATCAATTCACTTATAAAAATTAGTATTATAGATCTTTTCTTCAAAAGGATTCACTTTAAGACTTCAATCTTTTGACCTTGTTTTATCTCTTGTTCTTTCTCAGACGACAACTTTAATATCGTCATTTAAACACTGATCTACTTTCAAACTCACATTATTACCAGAAATGTGTTGTCATTTTATCACATTTTTAAACACCTTCTCGGTGGGAATTTAGAGTTACGTATTAAATGGTCCTGATGACCACCATTAAAACACTCTCTGTCATCTGGTGGGTTCATGTGTCAGCCTCAACGGCTCCAACTTACTGCACGCCCTTGAAGCAGTGTGTCCCATTCAGGAATGCAAACAGAGCTACTGATTAAGCAGTTCTCTGTATTCTTTTACAGTCCACCAGTGGCGGATTTAATCATAATAACCCAATCATAATCTTCATCATTATTATTGGCAGAACATTAATTTTCATAGGCTGCAAAATATTGTTTTCACAAAGTGTCTGTTTAACTTTAGTCGCTTGTCCAGGGAAATTATCCCTGACCCAGAATTTCTTTCACTTGCTTCTTGTAATCATCGTAAGCAATACGAGGCTAAACATTTTAATTTTTCAGTTTCTTTGTTTGTTTGTAGCCAGTCAAGTTTTTTTTTTAAATTTCCAATCAGAATCAAAATCCTGACTACCATTTACTTAATCATTTCTGCAAATTTATTTAAAGTGAGGGCTTTAGAGCACAGCTGCTTACAGCGTTTGCTTTTCCTGTCTCACTATTTGTTTCAGGACTCTTCAGGTTACTGATTAAGTTATTACATTTTTCTGCCATATCTTAATCATGGTTCATACTCACCTGAAGTTATTGCAGAAATGGAGGCGGCGATCTTTGAACAACACAGCTTGGCTTCTGCGTGATGAAACTGCAAAGTATACTCCAAAATCACAGTTACATATACTGGTCCATGCCAATTTGGGTCACAACTTTTTTAATTTTTCTCTCGGAATTGTTCCTGATGCATCCCTGGCAAACAACCCTATTATTGTTAGTATCCCTAACTGCCTGATTCACTTCACTAAGTTCGGGGATCCCCTATCTGAGATGGAAGAGATTGAGCAGGTTTACGGTGCCACTGGACCTCTAGCCCAGGGACGTGCTCTGCTGGGGTGGTGCTACACCAGTAATGCCCAGCGGGGCCCCCACAGAGCACGCTTCGCTTGCGCTGTCTGCTGCCGTTACCCTTAACGACGCTCTCAGCGACTTCTTATACTGTCAGCAGTATAATTAACTTACTCCTTCACTCGCCTCATCGGAGTGAAGCTTCACTCGCCTCATCGGAGTGAAGCTCTCCCGCTCTCCTTCAAAATCTCTTCCAGTCAGACAGCCCTAACAATTAACAAAAGCTTACTACCTTGTTTGTTGATTTGCCAGGGGTGTCACCGAGAATAATTGCCCGCATCCTCCACCATAACTGTAAGGGGTATACAGTCAAAGACCCAGAACCAGATATGAAGAATGAAGACCCGGAGTCAGAATTATAAAAAATTAAAGAAAAGTTTTACTGAAGATAGTTTGCATTTTCATCAGCAGAAGTCAGCTTCAAGACTCACACAGGAGTTCGTAGGCCGCCCCCCTTACAGTTACAAAGATCACAGCAGTTATACCATTTCCAAGGTCTAAGCTACGTCATTGCTTACAGGTTGAATGATTCTCATTGGCTAAGAAACATGAAAGCCTAAACAATTTAACACATGTGAGGAGATAGGGGTGCCTATCGCCATTAGTAAGGATAGTTGTCGTCCACTCATTGGATTTAGGTCTGTGGTGGCCTCGCAGGTTAGAGAAGGGCGCCGGGGTGTCTGGTCCGAACGTCCAGAACCTACATAGAATGTCATACGCACACACACACAAATAACAGACACTAGCAAATAACAGCTCCCATCAAGGCTGAAGAGAGTCTGAGCTCCTTATTATCAGTTAAGTATACCAAAACATAATGCTAAAACATTCACTCGTTTGGGAGAAAAACAGATCACTGGCATTTACTCCCAAGGAAGGAAATATACTGGAAAGAATACATTTTAATACAACAATTAAAGTTTGATAGTAACGCTCAATATAGCTTGACTATATGTCCAGCGAAGAATCATATGTGCCCACGCTGCCTTTAGGACCCTCTAACCTTTCTACTGATCCCAGAGAAAGAGACAAACGGCCTTGTGGGTTACGTGGCCTTCGTGTCCTGCGTGTACTACGTGCAATCTCAAAGTAAGATTGGGATGCACCTAAAAGAAACTGGTTACTTGCATCCATGCATTTAAGAAAATATAATTTCACAAGCACAAGAATATAAAAATTATTATGTGATAATGAATATATTTGATTATTGATTTTTATAAAGGAAGTATATAACCATTCAAAATGACATATGATTATATATGTATTTGAAGAGGCAAGGGATTTTGACCAACCCTTCAATTTCAACTCGCATTGAAATTTAATGACTCATCATGTCAGTGCATTTATTTATTTGGCAAGAAGCCCTTCAGTTGGAAAGATAATGTACAGTCAGCCGATCATTATTGCAAAATGAACGCCCTTAGGGAATACAAGACTCCTTCGCTTCTGACAATATTTTAGGTTGATTTAGAATGAAAGAATTTTCATTTTAAACACTATCCTGCTGTAAACAAAAGCAACCGGTTTTGGAAGGCTTTAAAGATTTTTCCCCATATTAATATTGTAATGCAGCAGGTTCAGCATGTTTGAAGACTTCATGGCCTACTACGCCATCTTGTGGTTTATTTATTTTGCAGTAACTATATTTCCACTTGTCCTGCAACATCAGACACCACGAACACCAAATTAAAAACTCAAAAGTAATTCCATGTGATTTATTGAAATTTCCGGACATTTGAAATGCATTTACATGTTAAGACACAGCAAGTGGTAAAGTTATGTTATTGTTTGTTTGTTATTACTTAATCATTTAAATATTTCATCGTCCTTTAATGGACTATACAGAACATTAAGAAGCACATTTGTGAAACACGGTGTCAAAACAAAACAACGTCAAAAAACGAAAGAATAGAAACAGTTCATAACGTGTTCAATTCAACAAAAAATGTAGGTAAAACAGTCTCACAGTCAAAACTAAAATTTAAACATCAAAAGTGTGAATTATTTTTTTTATCATGCAACATACTGTTTAAATGGAAAATTAAACCAAACAAATCACACGGCATGAAAAACAAGACCAATATCAGTCTAAATTACCTGGTGCAAGTATCATTAATAAAGTGAATAGGTGCATGAAACAGTAGCTGCTTTTCAGATTTACCAAAAAGTCATGGATCCAGTCTCTTTAAACATCAGCTTACATGTCTCCATATGTCAATGAAAACATCCTACACTCTACAAAGTTCATAGTGGTATAATAATGACCATACATCTGAAAAGTAGTGGTGTTATTTCAAGGTTTGAATGAGCTGGCTGGGTTATTAAATGGTTCACTCCTGGACCTACAAACATGAATCAGTTTTTCATGAATGATGGAGGCTTTTTAAAACTTGTGTTTCTCTCGCAATCAGTTTAAAAAAATATTAACTTTTGTTATGTTTAATGACTATAGAAATTGATATATTAATATCATGTATTATAAAAAAAAAAGAAGCTATGACCTTTACGCCGTTTTGACATTCCTGGGATTCAGCAGTGTAAAAATTACATTTTCAGAACTTTTATTACCATCGTTACACAGTATATTTCGACTATTTAGAGATTCATGACTCACCAGATCACAACACACACATATAATAAATAAAATTGGCAAGAAACACTAACATTCAAGTGTTCAGACACAGACCGAGACATTTAGTCTGGTAGTAATACTCTACAAAGATTTTCAAATGTCAGAAATGCAGTATTGCGCAATTGTGTCGCATCAAGTTACTGCTTGCTATGATCCTAACGCGCGACTCCTGTCCAGCCTTTTCTTGGCAGGGTTCGGGTACTGGGGGTTCTCAATAACCCCTTCCCCAAACTTGAGTTCCAAGAAGGCACGGTGGTTGTTTGGACCATAAGCGGTGATGCCAGCAAATGGCATTGGCACCAGGGGTTGCAGGAAATGTTCTGGGAACTCCACGTCTTGTTTGTGCTCAGTCCAAGTGTCCCTGGTCATAACTCCATTACGGGGGTAGAAGGGCCACAAGTCTACATGCAAATGGTTTGCTTCACTATACTGCACGCGGTAGAAGTCACCCTCGACCGCTCGCTCCCACACATAGCCGTTAGCATCCACCAGTGAGCCGGAGTCCAGGTTCTTTAGGTAGTCGCAATTCGGTACGTCCTCCATGTAGATGCCCAAGTCCACGTCATAGTCCCATGGGATTACGTCCTTGTGTCGGGCAGCTCCCAACAAAGAACCCCCTTCCAGCCAATAACGCACACCAGAGCTCTCCAAGATATTGACAACATATTTAGTGGTCTCTCGGAGGGCGCGCAAGCAGCAGGGTGGAGTCCAGCGCTCCACGTAAAGGTATTCCGGTGTGTCGTCACGCACTGTGCCGAAACATCGTGGCGTCTCTTTACTGCAGCCAAACCACTGATCTCGTCCATCAGGCAAGATCACGCGCTTCAGGCCAAAGCTGCGCAAGAGGTGATTGGTTGCATCTTTCAGGCGACTATCCGCCTTCCACTGGTTGTGCGCAGAGGTAAACAGCGGCCGATGACTGGCGGAGAACGAAGGTCCCTCCAGGAGCTTGACCTTCCATCCCCGCAGAGATGTTTGGACAAACAGGGAAGACATCAGGGGACGACCTAAAGGAACAGAGAGATTGAAGAGGTCCTCGGTACGGATAAGAACCACGGCGTCTCCCTGCAGGGCTGTGCAGACGCTACCGCTGCTCCCTGAGGCCGCAGGGGTGTAGGTGGCGGTCCATTCCCGCAGATTCACCCGAAGGTGCAGGCATTGCACTGCCGAGCGGGTCAGCACTGGCGCAGCAACCAGTCGGACCGGCCCGCCACCTTCTCCTTCCAGCTCCCGAATGAGACGCTCAATTTGTCGGCCGTGGTCCAGCTCCACACCATCTGGAACTAATAAAGCAAATTCCGTCTGCACGTTGAACTCGGGACGGTGAGTTTGTGGAGGCTGGTCAGGGCTCGGCGACAACACCAGGAGCCGGGCTCCCTCGGGAAGAGCCAAAGGAGGGTACGGTGGACTTTCGGCTACAGCGAGGAAGGGCAACTCTGGTCTCTGGCGCAAAAAAGAGCGAGCAACATCACCAACATAGTTCTCAAAGTCTTCAAATTCACGGACAAGGATCGTGATGCGAGGGCCACGCATGTTGCTCTCAAGGCCTCCCAATTTGACGCCTCCAACTATACTTCCACCAACCAGATTACCCAGTCCTGGCACAGGAAGAGAGGCTTTCTTTGAGCCCTTAACTTGTTCTCGACGTTTCTCCATCATCTGCTGCTGGGCCCGGGAGACATAATATAGGATGAGCAAGTTCAAAATTATTGCTCCAGTTAACAGAGCATGGAAAAAACTGACACGCATTATGGCTCTTATTGTTATGCTTTTATGATACATACAGTAAGTGAAATCTCAGGTAGAGAGAGGACTGACAAACTTGACCAACATAACTCATCCAAATTCCTGAAATCTTGAACATTAACATTCTGGTTTGGTCAAAAAGCAAGCCAAGTGGAAAGTGTTTGAGGTAAATATTTGATGAAGCATCTTCAGTGACCAGATCAGTTTCGGCTGATTCCTTTGTGTTCAGCTTGTGTCAGCTGAAAAAAAGACTGATGGACAGATTCCATATTCGACTCCATTGCCTTTAGTTCCCCACAGTTCATTAAATAAATGCTATAAGGGGAGACAAAAAAAGAGAACATTTTAATAAACAATTTCACTTTGAGCATTTCAAAGACAAAGTACAAAGTTATTATTTGAGACATCCATATCAAGTTTGTATAACAAAAAGCCTATTATTCATCATTACAAAGGCTAACCAACAAAGATGACCTAGAAATATATAGAGATGTTCAAATCTGCTGTCCCAATTAGAGATGCACTCTAGATAACCTACATTCATGTATTTGAGAAACTCTTATTTGATCACTTTGATCACTGAGACAGGTCCATACAAATATAGAACATGCATGCGAAATTAAACCAATAACAAGCCTACAATCATCGATTCATGTAGATATATGCAGCCTCGATCTTAAAAGCATACACATATTCCCGTTGGCATGCAAAACTATAAATCACGATTGTGAGAACTAACATTTCACGGTTTGATTCAACATTTTCCTCATCAGCAGATTGTCTGCACGGTATTCTTGCTATTCTTCCCCATACTGATTCGGAAATGAGGAAAGGAAGTCTGAGAGAAGATCACAATGTAGCAGGAAGCTCACACTACTGGGTCGCCCCGATCAATCCCGTAGAAATAGAACGAGCGGGTAGAATGACAAATAACATGGAACTTCAGTTCTCAAATGGGCGTGGCTTAGCGGTGATATAGGTTTAATCATATATTTAACTTTTCACAGTGTATTTTTGACTTGTATTATCTGTAAACATGATGTTTTTTTTTGTTAACTAAAGTTGTATTTTTCTCTTCAATTTTGACATACGATTTTACAAATGAACAAATGAAAAACAAATTAAATAAATTCGAATTTAGAAATTAAAATGAGAAATTATAATATGCAGTTTTGTAATTGAAAAATAGAGCATAAAATATCTTGAAGAAAAATTAAATATCTTTAAAACAGGTAACTAAAAATATGGAGTGACGCGACATTACCACGTTATAGCTTTTACTTTTCTCACCGCTCGTCAGGATGGGCCAATCTTGGTGTCTTGGTGATGACTGGACTTTTGACTTTAAACAATTTTTATGGATTGTTGAGGTGATTTTTACTTGTTGGTCAGCTACAAATATTTCTACTCAATATATTTAATACGTTGTAGCGGCTCCTTTTCTCATCTCCTACAAATTCACAGACTGTGATGACGCGTTTTAACGGTCATCATCATTAGCATCGTAAATCCTGCAGTTTTGTATATTTTTATTTTCTTTTGGAGCCGCAAAACGCCCCCTTGCGGAAGCCTGTTTAATGACCTATGGGGAGGAGCGTTTGCAGCCATTCAGTGGTTGGAGTGGATCACTATTTGGCATTTTCCCGTGTGTATGAGTACTCGCTCGTCTATCTGTATCGGGCAGGAAAACGGGAGAGGGCTTCGGTGGAGACTTCAAACAACGGGGTGGCATATTCGTCTGTATTTCCACCTCCTGGCTCCGGCGACAGCTCGAACGCTCTGATGGAGGCGGAAAGATCCGGCGGGGTGGCTGGAGGAACGAACCAGAGCCCCGCAGGAAGCGGAGCGGGGCGCAATCCGAACGGGCCGAAGGCTGTGCTCGGTCCGGCTCCCACCGCAGCAGCCGCCGCCGTGTCCGGGCCGATGGCTGGATCGTCCCAGCCGCGAGATCCGCAGGACGGGGAAGCGGGCCTCTCGTTGCCCGGGATCTTACATTTCATCCAGTTCGAATGGGGCCGCTTTCAAGCCGAGAAATATCGCTGGGAGGCCGAACGAGACGAGCTGAGGGTAAAACAGCGTTTCTTTAATCGCTTGTTTTGGTCTCTTGCAGACGGATATTCCTAGAGGAAGAGCACATTTCACCTTACAGATAAGACGCAGGAGAAGTCACGATCGCCTGTTTATTGTTGATCAGGCGTAGTTTTGGGATTTAAGTATTCCTCTGATGTTATTCATTGAAACAGTAACGTTAGCAGATTTAACTGTGAAATGTTGTCCTTTTGTTGAATAGCCATACCCACCTAAGGAAAGGAGAGTCGATTCTGGTTCCGATTCATCTAAACGATTCTAGTTCCGTAGTGCTGTTGTAGTAAAGTTACTTTTTGAGAAATGAGGAAAGAAGTATTCTTAATGTATACAGCTGCCACAGTCTGTTGTCCAATAATGAGATTGGTCGTATTATTCAATATAAAACTATGCAATATAATACTGTGTAATGTAATATCATAAAAAAATAGCACAAAGAAATGAACGTTTGTGCATATCTAGTACACTTTGTCATATGACCAACCAATTAAGTTACTATGCTGATTTAAATCTTACGTTATGATATAACACAGTAACAGTTTTTGACCAAGTGAGTTAAAAGATTTCAAGAACTGAAACCAACTCGTTGGTATGTGTTTTGATTCTTTAAAAAGAACCGGCACAAAAGAGTCATCCGATACTCGAACGAATGCGGTATGCTTTGCTTGAATGTATGCTTTTGATTCAGTAAAAAAGGCTAAACTGAGTCATTCGTGCGGGAATTGGACTAGACTGGTCGTGCAATTAGTTGGATTTCCTAAAAAAAAGCAGTAACATAATTAGTTGGTTACTTGGTCCATTTCATAGTCGAACATGACTATGGAATACATTGCAGTTCAGTGAGTGACCCTTTCTCTCGTAATTGTGAGTTTATATCTCACAATTCTGACATTTTCTCACAATCCGAGTTTATAACTAACTACCAATGCAAGTGTATATCTCATTATTTAGACTTTTGGCCTCAGAATTCCGAGTTTATATCTCATAATTCTGACTTTCTCACAATCTTAAGTTTATAACTATTATTTATATTGCTATAGCAATTTAGATTTTTTTTCCTGCAACTGCGAATTTAGCCTATATCTCCTAATTCAGACTTTTTTTTTACTCAGAATTCCTAATTTAGCCTATATTTCACAATTCTGGCTTTATTTCACACAACAACTTGCAATTCTGACTTTTCCCCATATAACTTTCAAGGAATAAGTCAAGATTGTAAAATAAAAAAGTCCCAATTACCTTTTTTATTCCATGCTGGAAAAAGCTTTATAGAAATGGGAATATATACTGAGCGCGATATTAGTTCGATTCACTAAAAGAACTGGAGCCAGTTGCACCAGCTACAACTTTCCATAGTTTTGACTTAAAATGGTTCTAAGTTTCAACTTATGCACTGTACTAAATATTTTTGCATTGCAAAAACTTAGTTGAAGCGTAACTCTTCGTACTAACTAAATATTTATGGAAGCCTCCGAGCATAATTAACGGTTGGAATAAAATAGCAGACTGATGCACATGTTTTATTCTCGATAAAATAGGCTATATGCTGTACAATACAATACACTTAATATCCTGCACTATTAACATGATTTTTATTTTTATTGTCTTACATCTTTCTCATCCGTGGCATTAAGTGCAAGGTAATAGAATAAAGGCAGTTCTGGAGCTCCTGGCTGACATTTATTTGAAATTTAAATTCCAAATAAATGTTCTATTAATTGACATTGATGTCACATGACCTATTGACTGCTACCTCTTTTGTAAATTGTGTAGCTTCTGTCCAAGACATGACGTAATGCAGCCCGGCTGGAGAATTAAAGCAAGTGCTTTTTTCAGTCCCAAGAGAGCCGATCTGTGTGTCTAGCACAGAAGATGTCAAAGCAATTTTGTAATTTAATGCAATTTTGTAATTTAATGCTGTTACTTACATGTATTACATTACAATATGTGAAAGATGTATGGCTCTAGTTATTTTATATGGAACTGGAAACATAAAATCTATTAGAATAGCTTGTACTCACATCAAGACCATATTAGAGAGGAGGGGGGAAAAAAACGTAGGATTCAACCTAGGATTAGGGATTAGCTTCCAATAAAATTTGCTTAAACAGTCTTTTTTTTTTGAGTCGGACTCCCCTGGCCTAGTTTGCAGCAGATCTTGGCCTGAGAAAAAGCTTAGCGATTAAGTGACCCCATTCAAACAGTGCCTGTAGTAGATTACATAAGGAGTTGCCAGTGTGTGCTATAATAGGACAGGCCCTGTGGCTCTCATGGAAGACTTGTGTGTGTTCTTCTGCCAGGCCTCTTCTGGACATGCCCATGGAAATGTGCACAGGCTTCAGGGACCAACTGCTAGGTTTTCCATGTCCCACACACATTGTTTTTGACTTGGCCTATAAAAAGTGTAGTAAGGGACAGTTGTAGTGTGACAGTAGCTGGTTTGCCCTGCGGTGGGACATCATGTTCCCTGATGTTTTTATGTGGGACACCTGTTCTAATGTGTTTCCTTTGTGACAGGCAGGACATGATCGTTCAGGTATGGCGTCCTCTGTAGCAGCCAGGGTTATCATTGTTAACTAAAACTGCAAAATATAAATATTAGATAAAAAGTTTTAAACGAAATGAAAATTAGAAATGTTAGAAAAATTAGAAATCACTTACTGGAATTAAATAAAAACTAATACAAAATAAATTAATTAAACCTAAGTAATATTAAAGAGGACCTATTATGCTTTTTTACATTTCTTTTGTGTAATGTTGCTGTTTGGGCATGAAAAAGGTTTGCAGAGTTAGAAAGCACAAAGTCACTCAAAAAGGATGTAATCTCTTCTCTATATCAGTGCGTACTGTTTCTGAACTCCCTGAAACGCTTCCATTGTAGTCTTGAGTTTTCTTCCAGGAACGAACACGTCACACAATGTTCCTCATTTAAATAATTCCCGCCCAAGGCATATACACAAAATAAAGGGGATGAGGCCTAGTTGAGTTATTGTGTTTTGAAACTCATAGTTGTGGTAAGTGGTATGACATTTCTGAAACGTCTTCGAAGTAGTTGGCCAATCACAACACACTGGTCTAGTCAACCAATCAGAGCACATTGGAAGGAAGTAGGGGCTTCAGAGACCGGAAATAAACAGCATTACTGACAGACTGGGAAGAGGGGTGCTGCAACAATATCAAATGTATACAAAATAATGTGAACACCTGGGGAAAAAAGGCCATATTTCTTTATTAAAGGGATAGTTCACTTTGAAATTAATTTTTGATGTGTTTTAGCTTACCTCAAGGGCATCCAAGATGTAGGTGTCTTTGTTTCCGCAGTAGTTTCAATTTTGATATTTGTAGGTCAAACCGTTCTTGTCTGTCAGTCATATAATGCAGGTCTATGGTCACCACCTCAAAGAGCATGCACAGAGAAGTCCAAATTAAACATGATTTAATGACTCGTAAATGTAAGTACACATTGATGGCCTAAGACACGAAACGAGCGGTTTGTGTGAGAAAACGAACAGTATTTATATCGTTTTTACCTCTTTAACGCACAGACCGAAGCGCCCGCGCCGTCAGATCACTTGGACGTGGCTGTGCGTTACAAGAGGTAAAAACTATATAAATACCGTTCGTTTTCTCACACAACCCGCTCGTTTCGTGTCTTAGGCCATCAATGTGTACTAACATTTACGAGTCATTAAATCATGTTTAATTTGGACTTCTCTGTGCATGCTCTTTGAGGTGGTGACCATAGACCTGCATTATATGACTGACAGACAAGAACGGTTTGACCTAAAAATATCAAAATTGAAACTACTGCGGAAACAAAGACACCTACATCTTGGATGCCCTTGAGGTAAGCTAAAACATATCAAAAATTAATTTCAAAGTGAACTATCCCTTTAAGGTGTTTTGCCAAAAATTGCCTTTTAATACAGCTTCCAACCTTATTAAAATAGAACAGATTGATAGTACAACATTTGAATAGTCTCCATTTGAATGTCGTCGATTAGAACATCTAGTTGCTCCAGAGATGTTGAAGGAGGGAATCTGCTTCACACTCTTCTCTCCTAAAATGAATACACTACAGAAATTAAGCTGACCAGGGAAGATGATGAAGTTCATCTCGGTGCTCCAACTGTCCAGCTTTTATGATCATAACACCATCTTTCTCATTGCCTCACATTTTAGCAGTGGTGTCTGAAAGTGGGTCTCTTTCATTGGTGTGGAAATGTGGTCTTCAGGATGAATGCTGAGGTTTGCTGTCACTTTGCTGCAGTTGTTCGGTGTTGTTTGGACACAATCCTTCTTAGGGTTCGACAATCATCAATGTAAATGTTCTCAATACGATATTGTTTATTGTCCAACCCTAACAGTCTTACTTTTATGATTCACTTTTGGATTTTGTCCTCTATTCTTCTTTGTTTTTTTCACTGTAGCCAACACAAAATGATATTAACCCCTTTAATAATGGCAAATGGCAGCTCACATTTTATCCATGTAGCAGGAAAACAAACAAAACAAATGCAGTTTCAGTTATTTTTTTCTTCCATTGTCATGCAGCTCTATAGCATGGCTGCAGTGCTGTATTAACCAATCGGCATCCAGTACTAGAACTACCCATTTTATAATTAGCCTACCGGTAATACTTCGATAAATATTTGTCAAGCAATATGGTTGTCACAATCACATACAGTCAGCACAATGTTTGTGATGTGATTCTTTACAGCAGGTATATTCACCTCTGTCAACTCCCTTAATGTCAATATAATATTAACTGAAGGCCAAAGGTTCGCCCACAGAAGTGGTAAAAAAACACTTAATAAAAGAGTTCAAATGGGTTCATATACTCTTAAAAAGACTCGCCCCAGAAAAAGTCTGCTGCTCTATTTGTTGGAGTGTGTCTCAAAGGGATACTAATGTGGAGAGAGAGTGTGTATGTGCCCTTGACCTGTTCCCACCCACAGGAAGTCACAAGAGGGGTGGTCCGCCACATAAATGTGTCTGTGTGGTAGTACCGGCCCCTTCCTAAATCTTCAGTGACCAAAAACATTGTGGGTTTTTTTTTTTTGCAGCACAACACCACAGAACTGTGCTTGGTAGCTGGAAGTGTCTCTGACTTTTCCAAGCGATCACATGTATGATATTTCCTTTTCTGCTAGTGATGAGACTAATTATGTTTTGATTGGTAGATTGCGATGTGTAATTCCCAAAGCAGTCTATTTCCTTGATTGACAATTATGTCAGATGCACAGCCATTGTGTGACAAGTATCCCAGTTTCAAAGGCCGAAAACATGGGCAATTACTTGCCTTTGTGAAAATGTCAAAGTGCTCCAAAGACCTGCCATAACAGGTTTCCTCACGCTCACCCACACCATGGCAACTGCAGCGAGTCGGTCTCCATGAAGACCTGTGCCAACTTGTCATGCTTCACTTTTCCTGCAAGTCAGCCTTGGAGACAGAGTGATTTTGAACAAATGTTATATATGGCTTGACACGGCCTACATAAAGATATTAAAAAAAGCTCTTAATAGAGATCAGGCTGGAATTGTCCCTGTTTTGGGCAAAAATTCACGATTTTAGGAGTAAAGCATTTTGTAGTTTCTCATATTGAGCTTAAACACAAGTCAAGATACGCTTGCTTGCTAAACAGATTTCTCGCAATGTGAAAAGATACTTTTATAAATTAAATGTTGTTATAAATAAATAAGAATTATAAATATAATGGTGGTATTCATTATATAATAAAATAAATATTTTTATTTAAATCAACATTCAGATTTATTTATAATTCTTTACTATAAAAATATAATTAAAACAACAATAATAATTGCTATTTATATTGGTTTTATTAATGTATTAATGTTGTAGTAGTTTAATATGTTGTTGTTTTATTATGGGTAATGGGTATTATGATTCATTAAATGGTTATTAATAATATTTTTGTTTAAATCAACAGATTTTTTATTTATTTTTTTACATTAGAAACAACAATAGTAATAGCTGTGTATGTATATATATATATATATATATATATATATATATATATATATATATATATATAGTTAAATAATATAAAGTATTTTTTATTATTTTAATAATTTTAGTAGTGGTATTTATAATATAATAAATAGTTACTCCGACTTCCAACCAGATGGAACTGGATAAATCTTCTGTATGTTCTGATCCAATCTCACTTCTGACCTGTAATCCGTCCTGAATCATAATCATACACTGTTCGCTCGTTGGCCAGAGGAGAACTGGCCCCCGACTCAGCCTGGGTTCTCCCAAGGTTTTTTTTTCTCCATTCTGTCTCCTGATGGAGTTTTGGTTCCTTGCCACTGTCGCCTTGGCTTTTGGGGACATTTAATATTCAACAATATTATTGATCTGCCTTGATCTGTGAAAGATGATGCAATTTTCTTCTAGAAGCAAACTTAGTTGTATTATTTTCCTGTTATCTCTGTAAAGCTGCTTTGAAACAATATGTATTGTAAAAAGCGCTATATAAATAAAGGTGACTTGACTTATAATATATAATATACTGTATATAATGTGTAATATTTTTAATCATCAGATACTCAAATGTATAATATGTTGTACATTATCAGTATGATTTTAACAATGATATAGTTATTTATATTTTATTTATAATTATTAAGTCATAAATAAACATGAAAATTGTGTCATTAATTACTCAGCCTCATGTTGTTCCAAACACATAAGACTTCAGTTCATTCAGAACACAAATGAAGATCTTATTAATTAAATCTAAGAGCTTTCTCTCCCTCCATATTTACAGCTGAGAAACAACCACTTCAAGCCCCAGAAAGGTAATAAAGACAATGCTCATTGGAGATTAAAATTTTGTAAAAGTTTTTATTTTAATTTTTTTAAACAAAGCACTCGCTTCATAAAATTGAGGTTAAACCACTGGAGTCACATGGATTAGTTTAATGATACTATCTTTCTGGGGCTTGAAAGTGGTAGTTGCGTAGCTGTCAATGAAGTTTGGAAGAACTTAAGAGTGAGTAATTAATGACAGATTTTTCATTTTTGGGCGAACTAACCCTTTAAAGGTATTATTATTAATTAATTTAGTATGTGGTAGAGTCCAACGCCTAAACAGTTCTGTTGTTTGAGGTGCACTGATGGTGTGGGTGTGTGTGACTGATTTCTGTGAACACAAGAATATGACTGTGCAAACCTGTGCGCTGCTGACCAACACAAATCACTATTAGACATGTATTTATTTACCTGAAAGCATAGATTCACTGAGCTGTAACTAGCACGTTTTGTCATTTGTAATAGAGACGCATGCAAAACTGGTTAAAGGATGCTCCGTTTAAAAAAGCCTAAATTCTCTGGCCTGAACACAGCTGACTTTGTTGGTAACTTGGCATCTCTAATTGATGTGGGTTTTACGGTGGACTCTAGGGGGCGATTGAGGCCTCGTTCTCTCTCTTCTAAACCACAGCTGACTGGGAAATGAATGGTTTTTGGGTTCTCCCCCTTTATAGTCTCTTTTCCGTCAACATATTTGTCTTTCATGACTCTGGTCGGTGTTCGGTCAGCAGCCATCTAAAATAAAGCTTGTGGAATTGCAGGCCTTTAGTTAACCGTTGCCCTCAGAATGTCATACAAACACACGGTGCTTCAGCATATAACCTTTCATTTTCTCTCTGATGTATCTGGTTTGAATCTGCACCACCATATTTATATCTTTGTCTTTCTCTTTCTCTGTCTGTCTGTCTGTCTGTCTTCCTATGCTGTCTCAGGCTCAGGTGGCTTTTCTGCAGGGTGAGAGGAAAGGTCAGGAGAACATGAAGCAGGATCTGGTGAGGCGAATCAAGATGCTGGAATACGCTCTGAAACAGGAGAGGTGAGCCCACACACACACACACACACACACACACACACACACACACACACAGACGAGCTTCTTCAGTGCCCGGTATAATGTGAAACCACTCTTCCTTTGTGTTATGTTCTATTGTGGTTTTTTTTGTTGTGTTTTTTGGCTCATGTTTTTTTGTTTTGTTTGTTTTTTAATGCTGTTGTGTTTTGTTCAGTTTTTTTGTTTTCATGTTTTTTGTTCTTATGTTTTTTTGTTTTGTGATGTTTTTTGTTTATGTATTCTTTTTTTGTTCTGTTCAGTTTGTTATTTTTTTGTCTTTTTGTTATGTTTTTATTGTTTTGTTCTGTTTTTGTTTTGTATTTTTTTTCATTCTGTTTTTGTTTAGTTCAGTTTTTGTTTTGTTTTATTGTGTTTTTGTTTAGTTGTTATGTTTTTGGTTCTGTTTTGTTCCAATTTTTGTTTTGTTTTATTGTTTTTTGTTCTCTTTGTTTTATGTTCTATTGTTTTTGTTTTGTATTTTCAATCTGTTTTTGTTTTGTTCCGTTTTTTTTCCCGTTTTTTTTGTTTAATTATTTTTATGTTTTGTTTTCTGTTTTTTTTTTAACATTCTATTGTGTTTGTTTTTTTGTTGTTGTTTTTTGTTATGTTTAATTGTTTGAGAGAAGACGCTACACCAATCTTATTGCGAGATCTGAAGATGTTTCCATGAGTTTGTATGATGTTGATCATTTATATTCTCATTATTTTGATCCCAGGTCCAAACATCAGAAGCTGAAAAGTGGCACTGATCAGAGCCCTGGAGAGAAGAAGCCAGAGACCGAAGCTGAACCAAGTAACAACCTAGAAACAAACCTATCAAACACACACACATGCTATGAAACATGGTCTAATTCATATTTTCCAAAACACATTATTCATACCCAGAATCATTAGAATAAATACTGTACGCTGTTGGTTATGTTTTCTTTGTGTTTAGTGACATCATTCTGTTTCTCACAGTACCCAATGGGCCTGCAGATTCCGACTCTGAGCCAACCAATCAGATGCCTTGGAAGGAGGGCCGGCAGTTATTGCGCAAGTCAGTTTGTTTTGTTTGCATTAATTCTCAAATGTATTTGTCAAAATGTTGTGCTGACGCTGTGCTTGTGGTGTTTTTGTGTGTTAATGAGCAGGTACCTGGAGGAGGTGGGATATTCCGACACCATCTTGGACATGCGCTCCAAACGGGTTCGTTCTCTGTTGGGTCGCAATAGTCCAGAGGCGAACGGGCCTCCTCCCAATGAACCGCCTGCAGAACCAGAACCTCACGGAGGAGGAGAATCACTACTAGTGCGCCAGATAGAAGAGCAGATCAAACGGTTAGAACGGCATGCATTTTCACATCTCATTTTTAAGTCAGTGTAAAAATAAGGTCCAGTAAGTGTTTGTGTACAGGTGAAGTAGTCCTTAAGAATTGAGGAATCTCTTGGAAAACTTTTAGGAGACTCTTAGGATAATTTTTTCTGATGTTAAAATACTTTGTCTTGTTACATGGTGCTCTCTGAAATCACACATTCTGCGATCTAACGTCATTGCATAGGAAACCGTATTAACGCCCACTAGCTATTACAAGTGTTTTGAAAACATCATCCATTTACAAAGCATTATGAAATCATTTACTTACAGTTTGTGATGCAGCTGCTGTAAGATCAGTTGGCTGCTTCATCTTTAAACAAAAGTTTCTTTGCTTCTGTCCATTACACTGTTCCTCGTTTTCAAAACCAAATGCTCCGGACAAACTTTTAATCCTTCAACGCGACCCGGGATGCCATTAAAATAAACCATTCACTAGTTTCCAACGCTAGTATCCTTCTGAAGGTGAACAGAGACATAAACGAGCTGTTTAAACTCTTTCACTCTTCCATTTGTCCTGTTGTCGACAGGATTTTGCAAATTTCATGTCTTATGTCATGACCCCTTTAAACTCAAATACATTTGATAGGTAGAAGAAAATCTATTTATTTATGCAAAAAGTGTTAGTAAGTGTTTTTTTAATAAGCCACAAGACACTTGAGAGGGGTGTTCTAATATGGTATGGTGTTTGGGAAGCCAGTTTTGAAACTAGTTTCTGCAATCGTGTTTGTTGTGGTAATAGTGCAGAAATCTCTCTCTTACAGGCGTGCTGGGAAAGAGAGTTCGAAAGAACGGATGGACAGCTCTGTCCTGGATAAAATTCCTTTCCTTCGTGGCTGTGAGGACGACGATGAGGATGACAGTGATGAAGAAGAAGACTTCCAGGGCATGACTACAGACTGCATTGATGGACGCAAAAACAAGAAGTCCAGGAGCAAGGTCAGAGTGTTTACATGAAGATAAGGCTCACACGCACATATCCTGTTTTGTTGCTAATAGCTTTTGGTCTGTACGCCTGTAGATGGGCGGAGAACCCATGACCACAGATCTTGACCCTGAGGACGAGGATGATGAAGATGATTCTGAGGACGCCCTGGGCGAGTTTGATTTCTTGGCCTCAGGAGAGGAAGGGGAAGGTGCGGGAGAAGCTCGCATATCTGGAGACGGTCGTGAATTAGGTATAGAGTTCTCATATGTTCATTTTTGGGGAAATTGGGACATGTACTTCTAGACAACTCCTCATTCCTGCATTGTATTTTTGATAGTGGATGTTCGGGTTACCCTTTATCGTCATGCTGTGACCGCTCATTGTTTTCTTTTAATTTGCTTTTGTTTGTAACTTCCTGTTGATAAAATCTGTTGACGGGGCCACCATTTTGTCTTCACGTTTCACTTCACTGCACGTTTCTTTGTTTCCCTTCACTTCTTCCAAACATGTCATCATACCACAGGATGAATGGTTGATTTTGTTTTTCTGCTGTCGTCTGGTTTGTTTACTTCTCTTACTTCCTCTGCCCAGGTTCAGAGAACCGCCGGAACAAATTGCAAGGCATTATGTCAGATTTTCCTCCCAAACCCACTCCACCTCCTTCTATCCCGGGCCAGGCACGCTCCAGTGAGGGTAAGAACAGCCAGCCGGCTCTCTGAATCACAAACCGATCACCTTTGGAAATACAAAAAAGCTGAATTTTTTCATCTATTTGCTCTGATTAAAAGAGTAATTAAAGGGATACTTCAGGATTTAGCATTAAGCTTTGTATTAGTAGAAAACCTGTAGTATTTTCAAATTACCGTGCTTTCCGCCCTCATATCCCCCTGAGACGAGAGATTTATGTATTTTTTGTCTGGAAAAAATCCTCCGATGACGCAAAAATTGTCGGAGGATTTTTTGGTCAGAGGCTAAAGACTACAGCCAGTAGAAGGAGCTGTTCCGCATGTTCTCAATCCGCCCATAGAGGGTGGGATCTCACTCACACAATGTACACATAGTGTCAGCCATCTTTTTTTGGAAGCTAAGCTAGCAGGCTCTTGTTCTGTGGAGAAAGCTGAGTAGTAGGGGTTACCATTCATCTTCTTTTTCACGGACATGTCCGGCCGTCGAGATCGTACAAAATGTCCGGGATTCAGCTTTTGCTTTCTGCAGTCGCCATTCATTGTTTACATGCACACCTTTTGTTTCAGTCTAACTGAATTCATTCCGATTGGTGAATCTGAATGTAGTGTTTAGATGAACGCTAAACAAGTGATCGGTTGATGTGCGTTTTAACATTGCTAAGAAAATTTCCACTCCTCCGTGAGAGATACGAGACTGGTGCGTCTCACAGGTGTCGCTCATTCATCAGTAATCACGCCACCGGCCTCGCGCCGGTCTCCCTCAGTCTCGTCCTGCTCGCCACAGTAAACATGAATGGCGACTGTAGAACGCAAAAGCCGAATCCCGGACATTTTGGGCGATCTCGAAATCCCAGGCAGACTCATCACGGAGACTCACTAGTAGCCTAGACTTGTTGTTTAACTACTGCGCTCCGTTACCGGTAGGCGTGGCCTTTTAGGGCAGCGAAGCAAGTGCATTCTGGGAGTTGTTGTCTTTCATCCACATAAGCCAAAAATACATTTTCTGGCTTTTCTCAGTCTAAAAAGCTCCAAATTCAAAAATAATTTCACATTTCTTCTACATAAATGACTCATTTTAAATACACATTCATCTTTCCAGAGGTGAAGTATCCCTTTAATGAAAATTAAAATGAATGAATAAATAAATTGATGGATTGAGTAATTCATTACTCAACCAAACATTCATTGTTTCCAATATTAAAAATATTTAATTAATTTAAATAAATTTATTATATTATATTATATCTCAGTGACATTATTGAATCATTTTTACTTAATCAGTAAATATCTTATAAGTAAATAGTCTTTCTTTAAAATGTCAAATGCATAGTGGAATGCATATCGCTCTATTGATTTTTGAATTCTTTTATTTAAATATTTATTATCATTAAGTATTATTTATTTTTGTATTTATTTAATCTGCATAATCATTCTTCAAACAGACAATCAGTGTTGCCAAAAAAAGAAAAATATTAAATGCATGAAGGAAAAAAAAGGTTAAAAATTGAGGCATTTTTCCACATTATATTATATTATTTGATTTACTCATTTTAATTGAATAACAGTAATTATTAATATTTATTTACTAGTGAGACCTTAGTTATGCATATCGCACAAACGTTTTTCAATCTAGTCATTGAAATGGACAGTTCAAAAGAATTAAAACAGAAATGCTTGTGTTAATGATTTGGACTTTCTGTCACCATTTTTTCAAATAAAAATATGTTTTAGTGTCTAGAGACAACATTATAATACTGGCATAGTTCTAATTGGCAAATTAAAAATGCATTTTCATCACAGCCATATTCAGTGTTGCTTAAATTTCAACTGCTGCTATAAACAACTATATTTTTTATATTCCAATGTCAGCATGTTAATTGTTGTGTGTGTGCCTGTGCTCAAGGGGGCGCTCTTGGCTTCTCATCTGATGTCTTCATTCTGGATGCGGTTGGAGGAGGAGATATGAACCTCGGAGAGCTGGCGGACCTTACTGTTGCCAACGACAATGACCTCACCATTGATGTTAGTGTTATAAGTAATGTCTCCTCCCCACACAAGTGTGTTTTTAAGCATTAAAGTGTGTGCTGCATGTTAAAGATGTACTTAAGTGGGTCAAAAAAGCACTCTAATTGCATGTTTTCTTTTGATTACAATTAAGTGTCAGAAAACCTCAGATTCATTTCTCACTTAAGTATATTATTTTAAAGTATTATTTCCGTAAGTACTAGTGCCCTTTGAAATGATTAGTGTTGTCTTTTTTAAATACGGTATTTACTGTAAAATTGGCAGTATGTTAGTTTTCTGTTGTGTGTATGAATTACTCTTCATTTAGTCTCATTTTAGTTGCAGGAAAGTCGAGAAGAGTTCAAAAAAACATGGAACCCTCGCTTCACACTACGAAGCCACTTCGACGCCATCCGAGCGTTGACCTTTCACCCCAGCCAGGCCGTGCTGCTGTCCGCCTCTGAGGATGGGACACTCAAGCTGTGGAACCTCAACAAGGCAATGCACTCCAAAAAGTAAGAGCCACATCCTAACCCTGCATCAAAACAAGACACACCACACAAAAGATCCTTATTTCACTGCCCTCTTATGTTAAGTTATGTCACTATAATTGTGTTAGTGAAGGTGTCTCTAGAAGTATATTTAGAAATGTTGATCCATAAATGCTGCTTTTAGCGCTGTCGCTGTGTGCTAATATGGAAGCCTTTCATTCTTTTTGCTTTCACAGAAATGCAGCGCTGGACGTTGAGCCCATTTATACATTCAGAGCACACAGGTGAGTGAGACAGGTTTATAATTAGACTAATCTGGAGAAAGTCCACCTAAAAATGAAATAGCTTGACCTGTGACTAACATACTCTGTCTGCCAAGTGCTTAAAAGGTTAGGTTACCCAAAAATGACAATTCTGTCATTAATTACTCGCCCTTACGTCTTTCCAAACCCGTAAGACTTTCATTCATCTTCAGAACACAAATGAAGATCTTTTAAATGAAATCTGAGAGATTTCTGTCCCTCCATTGACAGTTACCCAACTACCACTTAGATGCTTCAAAAAAGTATAAAGAGAGATTGTAAAAATAATCCATATGTACGTAAAACTAATCATTTTCTGAAGAGTCTCAATCGCTTTATATGGTAAACAGATTGAATTTGGGCTTTTGTTCACATTTAAACATTGATCAGCGGACATAAACAAGCTCAACCGTACTTGCTTAATGCGCAAGATCAAATCTCATTGGTTCTTGCTGAAGCTCAAACGTGCTGCGTAACACGAGAATGAACCTCATTGGTTCTCGCACGTCAAGCGAACATGCTTGAGCTTCCGTTTACCACAACTGATGTGTGCATTGATGAATGTTTATGTGAATAAAAGCCTACATTCAATCTTTTCATCATATAAAGTGATTGTGTCTATTCAGAATATTTAGACTAAACTAGGGATTAGTTTTACAATCTCTTTATGAACTTTTTGAAGCGTCAAAGTGGTAGTTGCGTAGCTGTCAATGGAGGGAGAGAAAGCTCTCAGATTTCATTAAAATACCTTAATTTGTGTTTCGAAGATTAACGAAAGTCTTACTTTGGAACAACATAAGTGTGAGTAAATGATGACAGAATTTTCATTTCTGGGTGAACTAACCTTTGAAGGCTAAACTATGAGTATAAAGATCTGTTATAAAACCTAGTGGTCTTTGAAGTACGTTAGATAACAATGTAAATCAATCAGCACCACTCTATATATCAGAGTACCATGGTTTAACAATCTGATCACGTTATTGTGGTACAGCCACAGAACTTTTTAATATGTTTCGTGTGTGTGATTTTAGTGGTGCTGTTCTTTCTCTGGCTATGGGTGAGGAGGGAGAATCATGCTACAGCGCCGGTCTGGACGGCACCGTGCGAGGCTGGAAGATTCCAGACCTTAATGTGGATCCTTACGACAACTATGGCAAGTCTAATACTAATACTGCACTTGCGAGTTCCACAGTGTCACTCAAAAACTGTTGCGTTTTTATAAGAGTCCACTAGAGGGCACTGACTACATATTCATTTGCCGACACATTGGACGGAGCTAGACTGAATTGTGGTGTGTAAATGGGTTCAGATCCAGGCGTGGAGAGCAGTGTGTTGTCGGGGCATGAGGACGCAGTGTGGGGTTTGGCTTACTCCTCCAGCCTGAAGCGTTTGGCCTCCTGCTCAGCAGATGGGACTGTGCGGATTTGGGACCCCCATAATTCCTCACCGTGTGTGTCTGTTTTCAACAAGGAGAAAGGTGAGGAGGAGACCTTGGGTGTTTGGATTTTCTTTTCTGTATTTCCCTCTCACTCATTCCCTCTCTGTCTTTCAGAACACGGCACTCCCACCTCGGTTGCCTTTGTAAACACCGACCCGTCCCAGGTTGTTGTGTCTTTCGATGGGGGCGAGACTCTGCTTTATGACCTCAACACAGAGCAAAGCATCATGGTCCTGGAGACCCAGACTAAGGATGGTAAGCTCCGCGTCATACAGGAATTGACATCTAGCAAAATGTCACTACTTTTACAATCTGTGCTTACCAGCAAGGTTTTAAAAAAAATATATAAAATGAAATGGTTACTGAAATACTTTACTAGACTGCCATTTTGGACAGGTTTTGGAAAAGGTCATGCAAATGAATAGAATTCCCTAATGTTTGTAATATTCTTATTTATTTAATAGCAATTTTTACAACCTTTTACAATTTTATTAATTATACATAGAATAATTATCGTAAATGATTATTAAATATTATAAATTATAATGCATTTATTATGTATCGGGTAACACTGTATGAAAAGGTCTCATTATTTCACAGTGAACAATACACTTGTTTTTTTTTAAATGTTTCTTCTTTTTTGTCATCAATTTCAGTTAATAAATATTCAGTTTAAAATATTCATTGTTAGTTAATGTAAGCTCAAGTTTATTAAATAATATGAACAGATTTTGATTTTAAAAATATATTTGTAAATCTTGAAATTAATATTAACTAAGGTTAATAAATTCTTTAGAAGCTGTGTTAGTTAATATAAATATGTCAGTGTTACCGTATATTGTTATATTAATATTATTATATGACATTTTAATTTATAATATTATAATTTACTAGACTGCCATTTTGGAAAAGGTCATGTAAATGAATACATTCCTTGTATAATTATTATTGTAAGTAATTCTTACTAAACTGTTTGCAATTTATTAATTATTATTTATTTTTCATTAAAATAGATTGTGTGCGTATGTGTGTATATATATATATATATATATATATATATATATGTATGAATGAACAGGCACTAGTTCTAAGTAATTGATGATGAAATTCTTGAACTACATCATAGTTGAAAATCATAGTTGCACGCATCACGTTACAGAAGTAAAATGGGTGATGAATGCAATTTCATGTTGACTCAAAGCCTGTTGTACAATAATAAAATATTGTGTTTCTTTACCGCCCCCTGCAGGCAGCGAGCTGATTAACCGCGTGGTCAGCCATCCGTCCCAACCAGTTTCCATTACAGCCCACGAGAATCGTACCATCCGCTACCTGGACAACAAGACAGGTGTGTGTGTGTCGTGAGCTTGTGGCAATGTAGAGGCCCATAATATTTTCCAGCTGTGCACTGTGGGAACTGTAAATACATCAGCAAAGCCATTGACTCTCCTACGGTGTAGTCAAAATAGACCTCTCAAAGCAGTTAAAAAATAACCTCCGGTATAAAAATACCTCAATCGAATTGAAGCCAGACACCAACCTTTAATCACCAGTTTATATAGCAAGAGCAGTTGAAGAAAAGCGAATAACATTCTTGGTGTGAAAGATTAGCCCGTGAAGAAACGACAGCTGGAACGTGAACCCAGCGGTGTGACTACCTGTGGCTTTATTTTCCGCCACATTAGGACATTTTTATTGATTTTTGTGGATACGTGTCAGCAAAGGAAATGGTCTTAAAGTAAAATGTGAAATTTGTGGATGAGTCAGGATGGTTAATCAAGTCATCAAGTAAGGTTTATATAAATGTCTGTTTTTTTTTGCAGGAATACTTTAAAGAAGGGATTCCCAAACTTTTTTTTATTTTTTTGCTAGCCAACCCCTTTTAAAATATTATTAAACAAGTTAAGATTTTAATCATTTAACAAGACATTTCCATGTTCACGGTCCTCTGATGTTGTTTAATGCAAGTGTGTGTTAAAATGACTTGATTTTATATTTGAATAATTTAATTAATTATTAGCTTTTCATCAACCCCTTGCAGTTCCCTCATGAATCCCATTTTGGGAAACCTTGCTTTAAGGGATAGTGAAAATTCTGTCATCATTTACTCACCCTCGAGTTGTACCGAACCTGTATGAATTTTCTTTCTTCTGCTGAACACAAAAGAAGATATTTTGAAGGATATGGGTAACCAAACAGTTGGACCCCATTGACTTCCATAGTAATTTTAGTTTTTATTAGAAACATAATCTTATCCCATTGGTTGAGCCAGAACTTGGAATATCAGAGTATCAAGCATGACCTAATCTTTTTCCTCCTTCCTCTCGTTGTGGCTTCAGGGAAAGTGATTCATTCCATGGTGGCTCACCTGGATGCTGTAACCTGTCTTACCACAGACCCTAAAGGCACTTACCTCATCTCCGGCAGTAAGTAAAAGTACACGGGCATGCAGTGTGTGACGTCAGAGAACAAAACAACAAGCCAATTGAAGCCCTCCAAACACATTCACGTCAACAGACCATTCTCACGGAAAAATGTGAAACAATTGTGCCAACAAAGTGTCATCTCTGCAATCTTTATCTTGTGTTTTTTGTTTCCCTCAGGTCATGACTGCTCGGTGCGCTTGTGGATGCTGGACAATCGCACGTGTGTGCAGGAGATCACAGCACACAGGAAAAAACACGATGAGGCCATTCATGACGTGGCCTTCCACCCGTCGCAGCCCTTCATCGCCAGCGCTGGGGCCGACGCGCTCGCCAAGATCTTCGTTTGATTTTCTCACTGGTAAATGCACATTTTAAGCATTATGAGTTACAAGTTCTGTATGCAATTTGGCCAGTATACGCAAAAATCTATATCATGATATATTTTCAAACATTTTATTTGATTAACTTTTTTTCTCACCAGCCACTGTGGCTTGTGGTTTTCCAAAGTTACTAGCCACTCAGCATTTTCACTGGCTACAATTTTGACATCAATACCATGGGGAAAAACTGCCATATAGATATTTTTTATGTTATCTCATAATTTGGCAGCAGGTTTGTTAGACTGCTGTCACTTTAAGACCTGACGCATGGATCCGTTATACCGTTAAACATATGCGTTTCTTTTTCTCAACTGTTTACATTTACCTAAAACATAACTGATTGTGTTTACGTGGATTACGGGTATGGTTTACGGTCACCAAGACTGGCATTTTGTCATTATTTTGTGACTGTTTAAGTGCAATAAGCAGTGAAAAAGAACTCAATTTAGTACTGAGAGGCGGCTTTGTGTGCGCGCACTTTTCGGCACGCACTGATGCGTAATACACGCAATCCCACGCCGAAATTCAAGCCCTTTAACATTAACAATATTCATCCGGAGCAAATGAAACGAGTGAGTGAGCCGGGTTTGTGTGTCGGAGAGATGAGAGAGCGAGAAAGCGCAGCTGGTATCGTGTGTCTATTCTGCGGGAAATGAGTATTGGTAGCGTTTCAGATATTTCAGTATGTATTGAAAAATCTATATTTGACTAACACTCATTTATTAGTTCAGATGCCTTATTAAAAGACTACAATTGAAAAATGTATATATTATATATTCCCCATGGTATCAATGTTAAAATTGTGGCCAGTGAAAATGCTGAGTGGCTAGTAACTTTGGAAAACCATTAGCCACAGTGTCTGATGAGAAAAAAAAAAGTACATTTCCTAATTTTTATGGTTTTTACGTTTGTCGCAAGTTATCAAAATGGCTAAAATCATTTGCAGCACCTTGTTACTTGTCATGTGTGCATGGGAACGTGTTCATGTGACATTTTTGCTTTATCTCTTTACAGGGGAGCCACCCTCACTACTGGGCCAAAAGAGTGAAACGCCGAATATCCGCACACACACGCTCACACACTCACTCAAACGAGGGGGAACAATGTTCTACACATGACTGCCTGTGTAAAAGGCAAACGACCCATCATTCTTTTATGCCTCACATGTTGTGATACAAACTCTACCGCTTTCAATACTAATGAGTTTGCTGCTCTGGTCCTGATTTTAGTTTGAGATGACACTACTAACAATCTGCACAGTGTGTTGCGAAGAATGTCCAATCTGTTGACGGATGGACCACGCAAGCACACACCTTAACACAACACACACCCTGGATTTTAATATCATGCTCGGTTTAGGTTGAGGATTTGAAGGCTCTCGGTAAACAAGACATTACTCAAGCCTGCGCATTTTCTCAATGTAAATTGCATTAGTGCTAATCTGTGAATTAATGTCCTCGCGTAACTGTCGCCTAGTAACGTGAGGTGATCGATGCATTTCATTCCAAAGACTGCTTTTTTTTTTGGTTTCGGTTCAGCTGCGAAGTACAACACAGCTTTACCTTTAGCCTCACAGCTAAGAGCCTTAGTATTTCAGCCTTTCATAATCACTTCCTCCACACATTTCATTCGTATGACGAGTAGACCTTGAAGTAAAACCAAACACGTGTGTATCTGCGTGTGTGACGGTGTCAGCACAAGCCTTTCGCAATCACCGTCTCCATTCATATCCAATCAGGTGGCATTATCTGTAATAGTCAGGTGACTGTTGAGTAGTGTATTTATTGTAGTGTTCGATATCGGTCAGAAGACTTTTTTTTAGGAAGATCTGCAGTTGGATGAGTAACTCATTTCTGTACATAAGCAGGATGTGCTGTACATAGCACTCTTGTTTCACAACCTTGGTGCTAAGATCTCTGAATCAGGGACCTGTTCACGACGAGGGTCGTAAAGTATCAAATCTCGGTTGACCCCTGCCATTCCTCTGAGTCATCATGTACAGTTCTTTGGCATTTCAGAAATGCAGCCAGTGTGTCTGGAATTTCCGAATACATCCGGTTTGCCGAAGTGGCTTTTAAGGTTTTGTCAGGGTATTTTTAAGACGATAAACTCTATATCCAATCTTGAGGATCTTCGGTTGATGATCGTCTCCAAAAAAAAAAAAAAAAATTTGTAACAAACTACAAGTTCCCCTGTTTAAGTGCAGCTGTATTGTCGATTCTTGAGTTTCTCGACATCTGTGATCTCAACCCAAGTTCTTTTTTTTTTCCTGAAAAGTGGAGAACAAAGTGAAGTTCGAACGGGCGTTTTAAGTGACGACGTGAAAACGAGTGCCCCCAGTATACGCTTGATTTACCAAGATGTTGAAGTCCAGTGGTGAAGCTTAAAGGTAGACGCATTAAAAAAGTCGACTTGACGGGTCTTGTACCCTTAGTCAAGGTAAGAAAAGGAGGTGTTTCAGGGTAAAATAGCTCTTTTAATGGAAATAAAAGTGGGGCTGCTTGCTTTTTGTTGGCTAAGCAAGGAATCAAAATGCAAGGTGAGATGAAGAAAGGTTCCTTAGTTGGAGGGAGCCTGGTCTTGAGCTCTGGAGATCAAAGGTCACATCATGTTTTAGCCAGTTTCCGTTTTGCAGGGTTTATTTTTATCCTTTACTGGTTTTCCGTGGTCGTAGATGTGTGGCCAGAAGGCAAGTCAGAAGCGACAGAAAGACTGATGGGCCATAAAGAGCGCTTTAGCATAATGGAGCCATGTCAGTCCTTAACCAGACCGCGTCCATCTAAAATCGTGGGGTGGGGAGTCTTTGGCAAGGAAAGCGGTCTGGATTTGCGAGTTAGCAAGTGTATAGAGACCTCTTGGAGTGATTTTATTAATGGACAACAAGGTTATGTCCTTTGTATAATGACGAGACCACCGTTTCATTTTGGGATGTTCGCCCAGTCAATGAATGTCACATGACCACAGACTTTCGTTCAGTGGAATCTCATAATCCTTTGCTGCTTACCTCTTCTCCTAAAAACTTCGCACCGCACACTAACGGTTAGCTTTATGCTACACTACACGTGTAGAATAACACAAACAGTTTGGTTCATCTACGTATTGCTGCATCGTTAAGTCCTCTTCCAAAGACTGCCGGTTGCATGGGTGTTTAGACGAGTCCTGCTGTCTCTTTTGTACACCTTTTTCCGCACCCTTCGTTGCAATACGAGTCTTGAAATTATGATGACAAAACACATTCCTTACCGAGAGAGAACGAATCTGTGTAAAAAAAAAAAGAAACAAGTATGTTTGACAAGCTGCCGATGCATAATGTAAGTTTCCCATTTTCTCACATATATGCTTTTCTTTACTAGACATATTATCACTATGATTACTAGTAATAAGGTGTAAGACGACAGTAGTACCTTTTTTGCTAGGCTTAAGAATTGCTTGTGATTGTGTAAAAGCCTAAAAACTAAAAATTGTATGAAAATTTAAGAGAAAAAAAAAGAAAAAAAGTTTCAGTCCACAGCCAAGGTAAAACGGACTTTTTGTTATGCGTTTTTATTTTTTAATAGCAATTTATCACTGTGTGATATTTTGTACATCATATTAAGCTGTATTCAAACTATATCCTATAACTACAAGGGATAAAAAAAAAGACCAGCCTTTTATTTATTTTGTTTTATTATGCATATTTTCGAACTGCTTTTTAGCTCGTATCAAATTTCATCGTTTTCATTTTTCCTGTTGACTTTTCTTTCTTTTTTTCTTTTTTTCTTTTGTTTACTCTGCAGGTCTTGTGTTGTATGTCATTAAAAAAAAATCCAAAAACAACTAAATAAAAACATGGTTTTGTACAGAGATTTCATTCTTGTCTGGTCTGAACTCTACTGTCTGAGAAAGTGTCTTTGGGTATGCAAAGTTTAATTAATACTGATAAAAAGATTTTGGATCGATGATCAGCATATTTGGGGTCTGATTTACAGTAGGTCACCTGGTCTAGAATTGTCAGTCTCAGGTATTTAATAGGTATGTAAAACTGAATTTTTAGCATCACTACTTCCTCCAGAAATCATTCTAATATGCTGATTTTCTGCTCAAGAAACATTTATTGTCATTATCAATGTTGTAAACAGTTTTAATTCAGGATTCTATGATGAATAGAAAGTTCAAAGGAACAGCATTTATCTGAAATAGAAAGCTTTTGTGACATTATACACTACTGTTCAAAAGTTTGAGGTCAGTAGATTTTAGTTTGTTTGTTTTTCTGTGTAAAGAAATTCATACTTTTATTTATCAAGGATTGATCAAAGGTGACTTAAGACATTTATAATGTTTCAAAATCTTTCTATTTCAGATAAATGCCATTCTTATATATACGATAGATAGATAGATACATAGATAGATAGATAGATAATTAGAGTAGATGGATAGAGTAGATGGATAGATTTAACCATAAAAAAATATATGAATTTTCCCCTTTTTTCTAGGAAGTTGAAATTTAATGTTATTTTCACCATTGTTCTTGTTAAAGCTAGCAAACACTTAATTTTTTGTTTAATTTGATTTGAGCACTCAAGAGATTTGTGATGAATGCAATGTTGTATCTTAACTGTGAACTGACACAAATCCATTCAAGGGGAAAAAATGCAGAACTCCCACCTTTCGTAGAATTAGTCCGGCTGCATGATTACACGTGGGCAGATTATTTAGCTGTGTTTATGCTACACAGATCAGATATTTGGTGTGGGACTGGAGAAAGAGAATGAGTGACTGAGAAAAGAGTGCAAATTTAGTGTGGGGCCCCAGACAAAAAGAGGAGGACAAAGTTGTTCCAGGGTGGGGGAGTAAACAAGCCAAAGTGTTACACAAAGAGAGAGACGTAAAAGTTGAGAGGGAGGGAAGAAGGTGTATGTGGGACTGGGAGGAGACAGAAGTGGATATGTATGATCTCATAGAGCTTCTCATTCACAGCTCTTTCATGCTGATTGGCCAAAAGATCTGTCAGTCAGCTCACTTCCTCCTGGGCTCTGTGAGTTTCAGACAGTAGGGGGGTGGAGGCAGGGGGAAGAGGGAGTGTCCTCAGTAGTTTTCTCACTGAGGCACAGCAGACACGGCTCAGCACGACAAGAAACTGAAACACAGCCTGACTTGCAAAGCAAGCCTAACCAGGAGCTCTCTCCAGCTTATTTGCTGTACTTTGAGGCCATCTTGAGCAGACGGACTTACTGCTACAGGCGTTCATTTTGGTTTCTCATTTGTTACAGTTTCTTTTATGTCACCAGTGTGTTTCCTTGAAGTTTGGACGTGTCCCTCTTCAAAGTGTCTTTGGAGGCGAGAAAGAACAGGAAGCGGGAGGAGAAGGAGGAGGAGGGGATACTTACTTTGAAAGCTAAACTTTATCTGCATTGCTCACCTGCTCCTTCTCTGGAATGAAAGCCGTGTAGAGGACCTTACCGTGAAAGAGAGGACAAGAAGAAAGAAAAGCTACTTCCTGGAAAGTTATCTGTTGTTTTTAAGCTCTAGGAGACACGGGACACACAGCAGGGACGGCCACTATTGATGAGTGAGTGACTGCTGGTGTGTGTAGGTGAGTTTACTGCCTCACACTACCCAGTCTTATCTCTCTCTTGACTGTCTTTGACTCTTCAGCATGGCCAATGTCAGTCCCTTCATGTCTCCGGGACCCATGTCCCAGGTCTTTTTCCCTCCGGGTGGCCCGTCTCCACCTGGGTCAGTGGTGATGCATCAGGGGACACCGGTCTCTGTCCATACATCCCAAACCCCAGGGTTCCCTACAGTGGACATGGTGGTTGCCCCAGGTCCCGGCGGGGCATCTGGAATGCCGTCTGGGCCTCCGGCGCCAGCTGGTGTCTCCTTCATCATACAGATTGGGCTGACTAGAGAGTCTGTGCTTCTACCTCAGACTGCAGACCTGGCCTACATCAAACAAATTGCTTGTTCAATTGTGGATCAGAAGGTAAGCACCACCCAGTACGTTGTGCCTTGATACTGTATGCACTACCACCTTTGCACTGCTCAAACGGAAGTTAAAAAGTTTTGAAGAAGTTAGTTTGCCCTCAGAGTTTGTGTATTATGTTCTCCATTGTTTATGTAAAATTTCTAGAGCAGTTCATATTTGAAAATTCAATGGAAATTTTGTGGTTTACCTTGGGGTCTGCTAAAATGATTTTCAGTAAACCCAGACTTTCAAGGATTCCTCATTGTATTTTTTTAAACATTTAAATAGAGTAAGAAGGGTTTTCCTTTACTGTAAAGCCACTTTTTCCCCCTCAGTCTATCACACCGTGCATATCCAAAATATGTCTTACGTAACACACAGTGACCACAGAGAAAAGCAATGTATGCAGAACATGCTGCGGTAACGTACGGCAATTCTTATCACAGCAGTTCTCCACATAAATATCCCACACTGATCTCCAAACATTGCTAATTCACTGATATGTGAACTCATGGAAGGTTGGAAGTATAAATAAAAATGTTGCATATGTCAAAACATTGTCCATTACTTGGGTTGGGCTCAATAAAGATAAAGACGCACTTAATGTCCTAGTCCAGTACAGAACCCATTTCTGCACTAATGGGACAAGAAACAGGCCATCCAATTCATGACTGCCCTTACCTCAGATCTGCATTAGGACCTAACAACAGATTTTATCAGCCAATCAGACTGTGAGATGATTCAATTATTTGATTTCCATGCTCTGGGCAGTGGCCAGGGTCAGCTTAAAAGGTTCATTGGGAAAAGATTTTTCCAGGAAGCATTTGTCTATTCTACACTATACCAGTAATTGTGCTTTGCTAAAAGCCCCAGAGAGCTTTGCAATTACTAGTTTGAATCTCAGGCTTGAATTTTGTTATCCATGTGAAGGTTAATGCCTTGAACTATTCCTAGGGAAATAACTTGTTGCAAAAGTTGCCTCGGAAGGGAACCTACAGGGTTAGTCATGGTTTAACCCTCAAATTTTTATAATACGATTCGGACTTTAATGGGAAACACTAACCATGACTTTGCTTTTCCCTTTAACTCACAAATCAGAGGATTACAACAAGTCCTCTGTTGTGTCCTTTGGATTGGGAGATTTGTGAGCTTAGATTTTGGCTCCTTCCCTCATCTCCCCTTGGCTTCAGGCAGAGTGAGTCACAGTGTTCCCTCTCTGTTTATTCAAATGGCTCCCTCTGTTCCATAGGCACTTTTTTCCATTCACTTGGAGGGTAATGTGGCAGCATCACTCAATTCCTCCCCCTAGGCTCGATTTATCCTCTTCTAGGACAAGTTTTACTTTCCCTCAATCTCTAAAGAACTGCAAAATTGTCCTGCCATCTATGTAATACATAATTAAAGCATCTGTACCAGGCAAGGACAGTCTCCATTGATTGGGTTGTCCCTTTTGTTCCTTGCCCAGCCTATTTTCCCTACTGGTCCAACACGTAAGCAGTCCATTGTCCATGGGATAAAGAGGAGGAAATGAAGCCTGTTTCCTCCCAAAGTAGGAGGCCACAGTGTGTCCTCCGCCTCTGAACCGCTCCCTTGGGTTTCCTCCAGGAGTTTGTTTTCTCACTGCAGGTTCCCAGACAATGCAGTTAGTTCCATCTCTGCACATCTCCATGTGACATACCTTCTCTATAGCTGGTTTTGACTTTCTTTTGAGTTTGAGCAACAAAAAGAAAAAAAAAGAAGAGAAAATGAGGTGTTAGGAGGAGTTTTGTATATGTGGTTGGCAACAAAATAGGCGTCTTATGATTGAAAGTCAGGTAATCATGGTGTACGCAGGCTGAACATCAAACAAATAGTTGGGTTTAGGTCACATGTGTCGTCTTTCCCTAGAGAGGAATGTGTGTGGCTTTATCTGGATCCCTGAAGGAGTGCATTCCTTGGAATGCCCGGATCACACCATCAATCTCCTGTTCACCCACCACTGGCCTCGTAGGCCTGGGGTGTTAAAAGCAGAAAAGGAGCAGATTCATGGTTTTATTTTCAGTGGTTTGAACAACAAATTGGCAAGTAATACCCTGTCCTCTTCAATATAATGTATAATTATAATCACACAGTTTGCAGCAAGCATGTGTCCGTTACTAAAAGAAAGTTAAACAGTACAAAAATATCTTGTGTACCGAGATACTCATGCACTGGTCTGCAACCTGTGTCAACCCGAGGTTATGGCCATCTTAATCCCACCACACTGTAGGATCCATTCTAGACCAACAGGTTAAGGAGGTTGGATGTCAGAGGGTGTTTCCCCATTCCTGAGGGAAGACGACTTTTAAGAACACTCATGTGGAAGTATCAGCAGCTGGTTAAAAATCACTACTCGTTTGTTTTCTTACAAATGCGGCCACTGTAAAGCACACAGTGTCTGGTATCAGGGGAGTCACAGGTAATTCTGCACCGTGCAACTCCCATATAGTCCTCTTACTCCTTACTCATTTGCATGGCTGCGAAGAGTCTTTGCATGGAAGGACCGTATTTCCTGGTCAAAATACCGCTTTGCACTAGCCACCATTTGACTATACAAAATACACATTCGGTCGTGTGCTTATCGACAGGAAATGAATGACAAAAGTGAAAAGACAAGAGAGACAATCTTTGGCTTTTTGTTTTGTTAGGGATATTTTCTTATGAGCTGATCGTAAAGCTGTTTTGCATTCAATCTAAATGTTGAAGATTTAGATAAGAGTTGCTGGTCCCTAGATAAGAAGAAATCTGCTCAACTTCTTTGATTAAATGTAGAGTGAACTTCATGTTTGATCTACACAGACTGATTTTAATAATAATACAATTTTAAGTTGTTTGTGTTTTATTTAAATAATATATAAGTCCATATAGAATAGATAGTGGAAGCAATATCTATATAAACAGAGCAATTCCAATAGGGTCCTCACACCATCAGTGCTCGGGCCCTAATTACAATAAAAATAAAATATATCTATGGTGTGGCAAATGTAATGGCAATTCACTGGGCCCAATTACAAGATTAGTTAATGTGAAATAGATGTTTCTTGCCAGTGGCAAAGTACAACGCCAGCGGCAGATCACTTTCCTCAGACAGGATTTTCTGTCATACACATTTACACTTCCTTTGGAGTTCTGTCCATCATATAGGCTATTATGCAATCCAATATCCTAATCCCTGGTTTGTGCTTTGATTTATAAGCTGTCTTAACTATGGACTGTGGAATAGGATTATGATGCATACTGCAAACTTTGAAAAAAAAAAAACCCCAGACTATTCTTTTAGGCCACATCAAAATTCTACAATGTAAATAGTAAACCATTGTGTGTACCAATGAATATGTTAATCATTCAGTACAATGGTGTATGTCAAAGAACCATTAAATTAGCATATGATACAGTCGTTGTACCATCGTACAGCCACAGTTAGTTTTTGAAAGAATAATGACAATAGTTTCATAATGCATACATCGGTCAGTTCAAAAAGAGAAACCAAACAAGTGAGGAACAAAAGCAAACTTCTGTTTTTGTCTAGCTGGGATTTGGAGGTTGGAGGTGTGTCCAGATTACTCTTTGTTGGGTGCTCAATTATGAGGTCACAGATGGTTTCTGTTACCCAGGGCAGTATAGCTCACCCGTCGCACCAGTTTCCACCAAAATACCACAGTTAACATTGATTGTTACTACAATAAAAGTGTTCTAACTTGGTCTTCTTAAAGCGTCTTAGAATGTTTGACGAAGATCTTGTTCATTTATTATTTATTATGTTAATTTAGTAGTAACAACTAGAGTTTTACTAGAACGGTTTTAGAAGAACATGTGCAAAATTAGCCATTATAATACTAGGGTGTTGTGGCTGGTTGCCAGGGTGTTGCTAGATTGTTACTAGACTGTTCTTTATTTCACTATAGATGTCTATATCATGTTTAATATTTAAAAGCCATATGAGCTTCCAACAAACTGACAAATGAAAAATGACACCATTATTTTTGGTCCCTGTTTTTTTTTTTTTAGCACATCTCTGTTTGTTTTAACAACATTATATTTAGCTAGAAGGAAGTTCACTCCGTTTAGTACACTGACACACTGCTGTTTAGTACTGCTGTTTGTAAGGCCTTAATTTCACAGTTGGCACACCTTTTGATTTTGAAATGTGTTGTTGAATGCCATGCTGTTAGTAAATCAGTATATAATTAATCCCATTAGGATTATATTCTTTTCCGACCAACCATGGTTTGGTTGGTTTCTCTGGAAGAATGGAGATTTTGTATTATAATACAAAACAAAGCAGCTTAACTTCGCCATGAAAAAAGCATAAACGAGTGGAACGAGGTGTCAGTCTCACATGTGCTTGATTGACTGTAATGTAGGACAGTATGAACGTTAGGTGTGGGTGGGGTGTGCAATTTTGCGATTTTGGAGAAGGTGGAGCAGTGTGTTTATGTTTGCATCCGTGAATGTGCATGAGTGTAAGAACAGAGGTTTTGTGTTTAGTGTTTCCAAGCCGGATTGCAGCAGAAAGTTAAATGGGTGGGTTACCACAGTGGGTAAACATATGATCTCAGGGTGAAGAGAGAAATCTGGTTCCAGTCACACCGGCAGACGAGCATTTATGTGTGTGTTTTCAAATGCGGAGCTCGTTACTGTCTTGAACAAAAAAGTACAGTAGTATTACCATGCTTTTATGGATATGTGCCATGGTGCAATATGGTAATCATTTAGTAGTACCATTGTAAACAATAGCCCTTGTGAAAAATTAGTAGTGATTTTTTTTTTACTTTGAAATATGGTTCAAATGTACTGCCCTAAAGTTAGTTATAGTAAACTAAAATATACTTTAATGTCATTTTATTGAAACTTATAGGCTGCCATGTATTTAATTATATTTGTAATTAGAAATTTGTAATGATGAAGTTGCAATTTAGTAGGCCTATGGCTATATATAGTATACAATAACCTAAGGTGTATACAATAACCTTAAATATATTAATGAATAACACACTAAA